GTTTCTCACTGCGCGGGGAATTCAAATTTTATTTTATTTTTAACGCCGTTTTTCGGGGATTTAGGATTTTTTTCCGAATTTTTTCGCAATAATATTAGGAAAATACATATTTTTTGAAACATTTTAAGGCAATAAAAATTTTTGGTCGGAGTCCCCCTTTAAAATCAAAAATCATCTCTCCCCGTTATATGATTCTTTTCAAAATGAACTTGATAAGAGACACATAGACGCAGACACACTATTCTTTTCAAAACGATAAGGAGCGGATTTTGTAGTGAATGTCACTTTTATCACATAATGTTGTCTCCACACAGAACACAAATACCATATCTATTTTTTGTGTAGTCTAAAGCGCTGAAGTGATATAAAATGAAATAATTGAAGATGTTTAAGCAGAGAAATGCCTGTTATCAGTTGTGTGACCTTGTTTTCAAAATTGAAGTGAAAATGTGCTTAAATAGAGAAAATAGAGAACAACTTCCTGCCTAAAAAAGTATTTTTCTTGTAAATCGAATCATTTTGTTCCCGATCTTCTGACCATTCTCTCCCCAACTCAAATCACAGTGTCAAGCATAAACCCCAAAAAATATGATGCAAGTTAAAACGTCTCTCTTACCTCTTTCTCCTTACTATCTATAAAAAACTATCGTTCAGTGAGTGGGCAAACAGAGTCTTTCTGACTCTTTGCCTCTTGTTTATTGCAGTCGCTTTGACAATTCTTGAGTCTTTTTTTTGCTCTCAAATACAATATTTCGAATCGAATTGTACAGAACAAAAATGAAAACAATCATCGACTAATTCGCCTCGTGTGTGTAATGCCTCTCTCCATTGATGTCTATAGAAATCGAAAATTTCACTTCCTTCTGATGACTTTTTGTTTTTTTCACTTCCTCAACTAAATTTTTTGATCTTTTTGTCACAGGAATATTCAGATTTTCAACAATTTTTATAACAAAATCGGTGAAAATTGAGAAAAAAAGTGCAAAAATGTTATTCCGCTCGAAACCCTGAGAAATTTTATCGCATGCGCCTTTAAGCTACCGCATGTAATTAATTCCGATCGAAACCACAATTAAACTTTTGGCATGCGCCTTTGACGTACTGTAGTTCAAAAACTTCAAATTTCGAACAAAAATTCGCATTTTGATCCCCAGAATTTCCCGGAATATTCCGACAATTGCCGATTAAATATCCCACTTTTTCAAATTGTAAAATTGAGAAAAATAACTGAAAATTAAAAACAAATCTTCGAAATCACAAAAAAAAGTAATTCCGCTCGAGACCCACAGCAAAACTTTTCGCATGCGCCTTTGAAGTACCGCAGTTAAAAAAAATTTTCGCTTTGATCCCGAAAATGGTCGCAATTCTGTTCCAAACATCCCTCTGTTCTTCTCATTTTTTCTGCTTAAAATTTCTTCCTTCTTTTTCTTGTTCCAGGTAAAAATTGATTTCTTCCAGAAGCCCCCTCTCTCCCAAAAATGCTCTCCTCGATTGTGTCGAGTGTCGACACATCGGATCTCGTGCTGCTCACACTACTCGTCGGAGGAGCCATCGTCTATTTCGTCTCCAAGTATCTCAACCAACCATCGTCAAGCAGGTACGTCATCGCGGAAGGGAACGGTTTGAAATTTGGCACTCAACCGAATTTGAACGCTTAGAGCGGTCGCTTTCAGCTGAGTATCGACTCAACAACGTCATCTTCTTTTGTCAAATTCAATTAGTCGTGTACTTTGACTTCACTGATCAACTGACCTGTCTGATAACTAATGACCATTTCAGGTACTCCCCAACAGTGGCATCAGTCACACCGTCAGCTGTGGCCTCTAAATCGAATCAGTCATTCATTGATCGCATGAAAAATGAGAACCGACAGGTAAAATAGAAAATTAGAGAAGGAGAGTTCCAATTTTGATTTTTTTTTTAGGTCCTCATCATGTACGGATCTCAAACAGGAACCGCCGAAGAGATGTCGGGACGTTTGGCAAAGGACCTGACCAGATATTCCAAGAAGGCAGTGGTAGTGGACCCTGAAGATATTGAAGTCGAAGACCTGGCCCGTCTTACTGAGGTCGAAGATGCTCTTTTGGTTCTCTGCATGGCCACTTATGGAGAAGGAGATCCAACTGATAACGCTGTCACCCTCGTTGAGTATCTGAATGCGGGAGACTGTGATTTGAGCGGTGTTCGATTCGCGGTTTTCGGATTGGGAAACAAGACTTATGAGCATTTCAATGAGATTGGAATTCAAATGGATAAACAGCTGGAGAAGCTCGGAGCCAAGCGAATTTTCCATTTGGGACTCGGAGATGACGATGCGAATCTGGAGGAGGATTTCATGATTTGGAGAGAGGCATTCTTGCCAAAAGTAGCAGAGGAATTCGGATGGGAACTAAATACAGAGGCAGAGACTATGCGGCAGTATCAGTTGGAGCCAGTTGAGGAGGGAAAAGCACTGTTCAAGGGGGAATTCGGAAGACTTGGAGCTTACGAACGGCCACGTCCACCATTCGACGTCAAGAATCCATATCTGGCGACTGTGGCGATCAACGATGAGTTGCACACTGAGCACTCGGATCGCAGTTGTAGACATATTGAATTCTCGGTTGAAGGTGTGTCTTTTTTTTTTAATTTATCGCAAAACCTGTATTAGAAGGACAGTTTCATTCATTGTTCCAAGGTACCGCCAGAGGTCCCTTCTAATACAGTGGCCTTTCAATTAGAGGGCCGCTCTTCTATTTTTTCAGCCATTTTTTCCAAAATATTTCATCGACAAATTCGTCGAATTTTCGTTGGAAATTCATGAAAATCTAGCGATTTCACCAAGATTGAGCAAGTTTTTCATTGAAATCTAGTGTTTTAACAACAAAATTTCTATTAAATTATGAAATTTCCGGAACATTTTTCGTTGAATACGTACGGAAATTTTTAGCTTTAAACGAAACGTTTTCAAGAGGACCTTTCTATTAGAGGGACCTTCAATTAAAGGGGCCCTTCTAATACAGGTTTTACGGTAAACATTTTGGAACATTTTCGGGGAAAAAATTTCCGAAAAAATTCCACATTTTCATAGAAATTTTGTTGAAAAAAATCTATTTTATTCTATAACTAGCTCAAGTTATGGTGAAATTGGAAGATTTTCATGAATTTTGAACGAGAATTCGCAGAGTTTTCCGCTGAAAAGAATCGGAAAAATGACCGGAAAAATAGAAGAACCCTCTCTAATAGAAAGGCCCCCCGGAAGTACCTTATAAGAATAGAAGGACTGGCTCTTCTAATACAGGTTTTACGGTATTTTCTCAAGCAATGTTCTTTCATTTTCGGCCGAATTTTAGGTTTCAGACAGCTAGATACAGACTAGACACAGAAAAAAAATCAGAAAACATTATAATAAGCACATTCCAGGATCCCGAATCCGCTACGAAGCTGGTGACCATCTCGCAGTGTTCCCAACCAACGACTCTGCCCTCGTCGACCGTCTCATCTCGATTCTCGACTTCGAACCAGACCGCACATTCCGTCTAGTCAACGTCGATGAGGATGCATCGAAGCGTCATCCATTCCCATGCCCAACCACTTTCCGAACCGCTCTCTCGCACTACGTGGATATCTGTGCTCCAGTCAAATCCCATGTCCTCAAAGCAATCAGCGAGTACTGTACTGATGAGAGTGAGAAGGAGTACTTGAATAAACTATCGGTTGCCAACGAGGAAGGACTCAAAGAGTACGCTCGGTACATTGTCAAAGAACGACGATCGATTGTCGATGTGTTGACTGATCAGAAGACGTGCAAACCGCCAATCGAGTATCTTCTCGAGCTGCTGCCGCGTCTTCAAGCTCGCTACTACAGTATCGCATCGTCGCCACGTGTTAATGAGGAGAAGATTGCAGTGTGTGCAGTGGTTACAAAGTATACCATTGGTGATAGATTGATCAATGGAGTGTGTACCAGATACTTGACCACCAAGGTTTGAATTTCTCTAGAATTCTCATTTCTCAAACTCTGAATCTTTCCAGGATGCCGGTTCCAAGTCTCCAGTCTTCGTCCGTAAATCCACAATGCGTCTCCCACACCGTACAACCACACAAGTGATCATGATTGGTCCAGGAACTGGATTCGCCCCGTTCCGTGGCTTCCTCCAAGACCGTCAATTCCATAAGAACGCTGGAAAAGAAGTGGGAGCGATGCACTTGTACTACGGGTGTCGTCATCCGGACCACGACTACATTTACAAGGAGGAGCTGGAGAAATTCCAAGAGGACGGAGTGTTGACCCACTTGAATTGTGCATTCTCTAGAGCTCAGGAAAAGAAGATCTACGTACAAGACCGTCTTTGGGAGACACGCGATCGCATTTGGGAATCCATCAACGCCGGGGCTCACGTCTACATTTGTGGAGATGCTCGTAACATGGCTCGTGACGTTCAGGCGACACTCCAGAAGATCTTCAGAGAAGTCGGCGGAAAATCCGAGTATGATGCTGTCGCCTACTTCAAGGACATGGAGAAGACTAAGAGATACCAAGCGGATGTCTGGTCATAATTTAGTCCATTTTTTCCTTATTTTCTCAATTCAATTTTCAGTACTTTCAGTTTGTTAGACAACTTATTAACCATTATTTTTCCTTTTTCTGTGATAATTCCCCCTTTTTCCAGAAAAAAATCATTTGAATTTCGGGTATAAACACGCCTCTCTTCCGCCCCCTTCTTCTTTGTCTTTTTTCCCTCTACTAAGCACCCGTTTTCGTATTTTTCTTCGTGTCTCTTTTTTCAGAAAATTTTGTCAAATATAAATATAACAGCATCCGAATACCTTATTTTTTATATTAAAAAACATTGAAAAAAAAGAAAATTTTCAACGATTTTTTATCGTTTTTCCAATGCAAATCGCAGAAAAATGAATTAAAATTATGAAAAAAACATGGAAAAAACGATGAAAATCGTCAAAAAATAGAGAAAACAGTCTGAAAATAGCTTTAAATGCGAGACCGTACGAATCGGGGAGACACCCTAAAGCGGGAGACACGAAAGCGGGAGACACGATAGCGGGAGACGAAATTGCTTACCGTACTACCGTTGATTCCCAAACCGAGAGTAACCAAACGGCCGAAAATAAAAAAGGTCTCAAAATTTTTAAAACATATTTTCATTTATCTCGGGTATTTTATTCACAAATTTACTGAAAAATAGCCTAATTTTTTACAATGGAACGGTGGATTACGGTAAGCACCCCCGCCCTTTCTCCTCTTTNGTCTCCCGCTTTNGTTCTCCCGCTTTTGGGGAGACCGTACCGATTGGAAAGATTTGAAATCCGAAAGAAACGAAAGCGAAAGAAACGAAACCGTAAGAAACGAAACGGAAAGAAACGAAACGGAAAGAACGCTAAACCGTGCACAGTTTTGCTAAAATCGCGTGCGCAGGCTGCAAAAAAGGGCGGAG